CTATCATATTGTCATCCTAAGATTTGAAGGCAAATTACTCTTGTTGCACGCTTGATAGCACCAATCTCCCCTACTTACAACAATTGAAATCTCACATTTTCTTGTGAGGCTATCTGGACTTCTTGTATGTACTGCTCACACACTCGCGGCTAACTGTCTTGCATACATTCAAACCTACATGCACAATTGTTAGTAAGATGTCAACAAAACACATGAAAAGCTTACTTTGGTACATCTCCAACCTCTAGGAGATCTATTAAACATGTAGGTGGTTGCATGTCACTCCCATCACAAATTGGAACTTGGTGTGATAAATCTTCCTTCATTCGGTTGTATTCACTGTCAAATATCATAAGCAATCGATCTATGGAGAAGTGTTAGGGATGGAGGCAATAGAAAACAACACTTCTTACCTGAACTAGACATTGGAACAAATGGTGGGAGTTCTGGTACATCTTTTATTTCTTTTAGTTTTTCATCTTTTGCATTAACTCTGCCGGCATGAACAACCACCTCTTCATTGCATTGTTGCTGTCGAATATCTAACAAACTAATATTTTCTTCTTGTAGGATTTGATTGACAGCATTGCTTGGTGCTAGAGATGGTATCCCAACACTTGTAAATGCATCTGTAAGAAATAAATGACACCATCAATATAATGATAAAATTCTACAAGAAAAAAGAAATATACCATTGGTATTGTTCTCTTGCTGCCAATAGGTATATGCCCATTTTTAGTAGTGAAGCAAGTGTTTGTGCATCAAGTATTGACTTATGTCGTACAAGTAGATGACCAAAGATAGTTTTTGTTGCTTTTGTTAGTCATTGCATTCCAAAAGCATAGCTTCAAAAAGCTAAAAAGCTCTCTCCAAACTTGAGAGTCTCAACATACACCGATGTTCCTTGCATCTTGCGAGACTTCTTCACAAAGGCACCAAGCGGTGTAAATTGATCTATTGGTAGATTGTGTGGAGGACGTTGGAGCATGTCACGAATAGCATATTGAGCTGTCCCTGGAACAAAAGCATTTTTCCTAGTATGTACTGCCCCATTCCAAACACTCTAGTAGCTTGAACTCAATATCCATGATCTCTGTAATCTTTACACAAAGTTCCTTGAGCCAGCTATAGATATGCTCATACCATGCAATCTAAATAGCAATATACTTGGAGCACGACATTGTCATCAATGACTAAGGTACTCCTTCATTAAAAGAGCCTCCACACCTCAACAGTTCTAGGGTGCCAAAGACTGAAGGTTGTTTGCTGCACGTTGTTGAACACTAGCCATAATAGGTGATACAGTCTGCATGGAGATATTTTAGCTATGAAAAGCATCAAAAAAATAAACCTTACTGATGGCTCAAGTGGCAATGCACAAGCTGCCACCTCTCAATAGCGATCTGTCATTGGGCCATTGCAAGATGTTGAGGACCCCATCGAGAGAGTGTAGTGCCTGAGGCTTCTAGAAAATCTAATTGCTGACCATTGTCTAGATGCCAATGTGGCAAATGCATTGAGTTGTGACTAGGAAATACAATCAGAGAGTGAGTATTGCAAATAGGAAAAACAAAAAGCTAACCACTCTTATGCATCCCTCTGGATGTTAGAGCCAACTGTGTTAGTGTGTGCTCGGTGGTGTTGTGTGGCCTTGAAGAATAAGATTGTCTAGGAGTATAATGCATGTGTTGGCACTCAATTGTGGGATTTGAGCTGCAACAAGTTATGTATGTTGTTGCCCGCATTGATCATGTTGTTGCCCGCAAGAATCTTGTTAGAAGAAGGATGGGAATGGGACATAGATCACATATGGGCGAGAGTGTTCTCTGTGATTGTTCTCTTGGCTTGCTCATGTGCTGTAGGCATGATAGGAACTGAACCAGACAGAGTGCTACTCACATTAGATAGCCACAGAAGATTGAGTGCCTACTATGAATCCACTAGAGGATCCTTTCTCCGGGTTTCCCCACTTCTTGTTGTTTTTAGCCCACTCACCTGGAAAAAAAGAAGATATGGTTCAGATGGGACAAAGATCGCTTTAGCTTTACCATGCTGTAGTGCTGCCTGATCGATCGCTAGAACACCCGCAAGAAATGGATGATGAAGTTTGCTGCCTCTGAAGCTTGTGATAGCGGGAGAACACAAAATTGAGGCAAAACTGTAATCATGCCAAGTTTCAAATCCAATATTAATAAATTGATATCTCACACTGTCCAAAGAAATTAATTGTTTGTGTCTTGCACCAAACGGTGACCCTAACCCTAAAATGGAAAATAGCTATAACCTTATACTCATCATCGACCTAAAAGTTCTATGGAACTTATGGTTGAATTTACACTTGAATGGAGGTTCTATGGCTCTCAGATAGTAGAATAAGAATTTTAAAAATACATTAAACCAAAATTAATGGTTTTTAATTAAAATATAATTAAAAGGGAGCTAGATATTATTATAATTAAAATAAAATCAGAATTGCCCACTTTATTATCATTAAATAAATAAAGAAATCATAAATATTATTTATAATAATAAACAAAAAACTATAAACTAGGCACTATTGTGTTATTATATAGTTGAAATAAAGTAAAATCATACTTTAATTTAAATATTTCTGGCCACAATAAGCTAGTATACATTTGGCTTAGCAAAGCTAGAACATACTTGGAGGGTAAAGAGGTTTGTTATGAACTTGGATGAATGTCTTGGATGGTGCTTCCTTCAATAGTGGCTGTCACTTTAAGCGAATGGTCATGATATAGCTTAGAAAGCTTTACTGCAGTCACTATTGAAGCATTAAACTCTCAAATCTTTGTTATAGCACTAAACGCTTGCTCAAACCGCATGAGAAAGGAAGCTAGATATGAGTTTGGTGATGGAGGAGAACTTGTCAAGGTGAATTTACAACATAAACATTTGACACAAACCTTGTCCTTGCAGCCTCCTAATGCAATACTGTAGTGCACGTGGATTTTACCTTTTATCCTATAGTGATTTATTATAGGATAACACTACAAAACGAAACCTAAACCCTCCATATGCCATGTGTTATATACCAGATGCTACATGTCACATGTCCAAAGGACAGTGATATGCAACCCAAGTTTCAAGGCCTTGGGCCATTGAGCGAAAGTACGGAGCCAAACTCCTAAATATGGAACCAAAGAGCAACGAAACCAAACCATGGAGCAACTCCCAAGCATATAGCCCAAGGAACAAAAGCACAAAGTAACTTGGAATAACCTTAAAGAATTTAACATCTTAATGCCAAGACCAGCATGCAAAACGGAGCCAAATGGAGTTTGGCACTATTTTAGCATATTAATGGCCTAATACAAAAATATAAGTACTTCATCAACTAACATGATATGGAACTTGGGCTTAGACCTAAGCCAAACGCAGAGCAAAGATAAGCACGCAAATAAGAATTAAACTATGCTTCAGGTTAATCAATCATGTTTGACGTACCTACTATCCCTACTATACATTTAGAACCCCCCACACACAAATTGCCACTTTTGGCATTGGTGATAAAACCTCTAACACACAAATGCATTGTCATAGTGAAGGTTAAAGTATACAAAGTGGACTAAATAGCTAATAACATACACTCTGACAAACATGGATGGTGAGGATACTGTTTGAAAGACTTATCATGACCTCCAAAGTGATCTTTGCACAGATGATTGGGATGTGAAATATAAATATTTCACAACTAAAGTCACAATTGTACTAACTTATTAAACTTAATGTATAACATTAAATTTAATTATTCTAATAGAATAAACATAAGCTAAAAACAATTCGTAGATTTAAGTGCTTTTTTGTTTTGTGATCGTCTAACTATGAAAATTGGCAGTCGTGGAGGAGTGCATGTTGGAGGTACTGCAACGCCTGCACTTGAGTGAAATACCTCCAACAATCCGTATTAAGGATGCTACACCGCAGCTCGCGAAGAAACAGTCCCCCGCCATCAGCTGAAAAGTAGAGATCCACCTCCGCTACGTGATTCGTCTCGCTCAAGCAGCAGCAGCACGAATGGATGGGCAGCCTCTCCGAGTAGTTGCAAGTATTGCCGACCACTTGCCCCGGCTGCCGCGAGCACAGGATCTGGAAAACCTTTGGGCTGCCACGCACCATCACCGCCCAGCTGATCGTAAAGTCGCGTATCTCCTTCTTGCTCCACCGATTGCTGCCGGAGTTCCCCACCCACACCGCGCAATCGACATTGCCATCAGTAGGACGTTGATGAGCATCCACGTCGCTGGCGCCCGTAGAGGTCGGGATCTCCACCACGAATCGAAATGTACCTTGATCTTCGTCATCGTTGTCGAGATGATCGTGGAGCTCCGGCGGCGCCGCTGCCGCTTGAAACATCCGCTTGAGCGTGTCGCCGCCCCTGGCCATGGAGCAAACCGGCGAGTCCCTGTAGTGGACGTCGAGAAAAAACACGAGCTCCCGCAATCGCAGCCGGGGATTGCTGCGGCTGGATCGCCCACCGCCGCCACCGAGCTGCGCGGCGGCACTCATCCGGATGCCGTAGAAGCGGCGGTATCCCCCCGCCACACTCACCGCCTTCTCGCCGCAATCGCTCAGCGCCAGCCCCGGCCACGCCGCGGCGCACAGCCCGCGCCACAGCTCCTCCTGCCCCGCCGCTTGCTGCCACGCCCGCGAAACGCAGCAGCACGATGCCAGGCTCCGGCCGTCCAGTTTGGAGAAGACGATCCACAGCCATCCCCACCATTCTTCCTCCTTACAGCCACCGCCATCGCCGCGATCGATCGCCTCCATCCTTCCTTCTTCTCTCGCGAGAACCGGATCGATCGCAGTCTCGCATTTAGAGAGGGTGCGCGGCCGTTGGCTTGCGGAGATGCCACTTGGCTTACCACCACACGTCATCTTCTCACAGAGCCCTAAAACCAATGCGCGAGGTGTTGGATGGTAAGCACATACATGCTTTCGCCAAGATTTATAAGATGTGATTGGAACTTTGCCATGGAATGTTACTACAAAGGTGGCAACTTTCATATAAGAGAGGAGAGTTCTTTGGAATCGCGCTTACTACAAAAGTGCTACGTTTGCGAGAAAGAGCTTAGATACGTTTTTCCTTTACTTTTTTTCTCGTTTTTTTTTCTCAAAAAAATTTGGCCACGGCTCTATACAGCTGCTTCTCCTCGAACGGCTTGCTCACGTAGTCGTCCATTCCACAGCGCCGGCACTCGTCGTAAGTTGCCTGGATCACGTCCGCCGTCATTGCCAGGATGGGGACGTGAGACCCTCCGCGCTTCTCGAAGCAACGTATCCTCCTCGTCGCCTCAAACCTGGAAGAGAGTGATCGTAAGTTGATCTTCTAGATAATCTTGGCTTGGAAACTTCGGAAAGATCACGCGCTCACTCACCCGTCCATCTCCGGCATTTGGATGTCCATGAAGCACGCATCGAACTTGTGCGGCGGCTCCAGCTTCTCGATGGCCAGCCTCCCACTCTCGACGCACTCGACGCGAGCGCCATACTTTTGTAGCGCTCCCGCCGCTACTCTCCGGTTAACTTTGTTGTCGTCCACCACCAGGATCCATTTCCCGGTGAGGAGACTGTGGAGATTGTTGCTGCTGCCACTCCCGCTGTTGATGCTGGCGCTAGTGTCGCTGCTACTGCTGGTGGGAGTGCTTGATTCTCGTGTTCTCCTCTTGAGATCCAGCCCCAGCGCTTTCTCGAGATGATTTGCGATGTGGCTTGCTCGGAGCGGCTTCTTTATCACGTTGTCCGAAAAGCCAGCGGCCTTGGCCTTGTGCTCGTCGTCGTCGAAGGCGAGGAGCACGAGCTTCGGTGCTAAAGTTGGTCCCGCCTCCTTGATCTTGCTGGGATACGAGAGCCCCGTGGAAGAACCCCACGCATCTTTGTCTATCAGAATCATATCTAAGTTCCTGTGACCGAGAAAACAAATAAGATCCGATGACCATCTATCTCAAACTACACGATCTTCTCTAAAATGGAAGGACTTACTTGGATCTTTGGTGAGCTAGAGCTGAGGAGACATCACTCGCAACGTCGACCTGGATCCCGAGCCTCCGCAAGTGATATCTCGTCACCTCCGATCGAACGGGCCGTCCATCCACGACGAGAGCTTTGAGTCCACTCAGCTGCGTCGTGAGCGGCGTTGACGAGTGTGCTGCTCGCTGCTGCTTGGAGCACTCGGCGCTGTGAGCAGCCTCGAGCGCTTCTAGATCTCCCACCTTGAAGTTGACGGTGAACCAAAACGTTGTCCCAACTCCAAGGCTGCTCACGAAGCCAATCTCTCCTTTCATGAGCTCCACCAGACACTTGGAGATGCTGAGGCCGATCCCAGTCCCACCATAGTTCCGCGAGGTAGAGCTATCGGCTTGCATGAATGGCGAGAAAACTCTCTCCTGTGCGTGGACGGGGATCCCCACTCCTGTGTCTTCGACGCTAAAAACTAGCTTCACTGTGTCAACCGGTTGCTTGTGAGTTGTGAGCCGGGACTTCTCCTGTTTCAGTATGAGCTTGAAAGTCTCCCAGTTGTTCCTTCGATCGGCGGCCTCGAGACCGCTCAGCGTGCTGCACGATCCCGCAGCGTCTACGGTGTTAAGTTTGTCCGAGTGATCTTGCGTCTCCGTGACTTGTTTCGAGCACGCCTCGCATTGTGCTGACATTGCGGCTTTCACGTCCTCTTCCAGGTGCACGGAGACGAAGATATGCCCGCGATCCGTGAACTGCGAGAGAAAAGAAACCGACCATTTGAAAATGATATATCGATCCGGATCATGAGGGTGTTCAAGGAAACAGCTTGGAAGATCTACGTACCTTGATTGAGTTTCCAACCAAGTTGGTCACGATCTGGTGGAGCCGAACGGGATCCCCAAGGACAACGTCAGGGACTCTCTCGGAAACGTATGCCGCCAGCTGCAAGCACGTAAGAAACGGGATTGGAGATCTTATACAAGATTGGAGATCATTTTGCTATGTAGCAATCTAAATACTAGTAAACAAAAGCTTACTTCGATTCCTTTGTCCTTGTTCTCCGCAGAAAAGGGCGTGAGAATATCGTCGAGAATCGTGCGTAGCTTGAAAGGGACAGTCTCGAGCTCCATCCTGCCGGACTCGATCTTGGCCTGGTCCAAGACTTCGTTGATAAGTTTTATGAGTTGCTTCCCACTTTCGAGGGCCGTGTGAGCGTAATCCCGCTGTGTCGAATCGAGCTCCGTGTCCATGAGCATTTGCAACATGCCTGCGTAGAAGAAAAAACAGTTAAAATCGCAAGAAGGAATCTTTCAACCAGATCTTACGCACCAAGCACGCCATTCATGGGAGTCCGGATCTCGTGTGATACAGTAGCCAGGAACTACATAGTTAGAAAAATCTCGTGAGTCCACTGTAGAGGTGATCTAATCGTACCTGAGACTTCGCAACATCGGCCGACTCGGCTCGAACTTTAAGATCTTCCATCTTGCGATAATCCTCCTCAACTTTGGCGATGCGGTTGCCAGCCGCGTAGAAGATTTGAGCCACCAGCAAAACAATGACAACGATTCCAAAGGTGGTGGTGATCGCCGTCCACACAACAGACGCTTCCTTGTTAAACCTGGGAGAGAACAAATCTAAGAGTAAGCTCCTGAGAGAATTATAGACAAACTCTCGAGACTTTCTTTCGAAACTTTGATACGAGAATGGAGATTGCTTTCACCTGCATCGCATCTCGTGCTTCCGGAAGGGATCCCCAAACTCGAGCTGACATACTTCGATCTCGTTCCCGTCGGGAATGTTTGGGCCGTACATGACAAGCGGATTGGACTTGTTCGTGACATCGTTGACATTGACAATGATGGTCTGGCTTTCGGACAGCTGCCGCAAAAGGTTCTCCACAAGCGACTCGAAGTCAAATGCTCCACCTACATAGCTGCAGCACAGCCATGGCCCTTCCCATCAGAAAAATAGAGAAACCTTCCATGATCTTCTTCATCTCTCTTTTTCTGTCTGTGCGGTATGTGCTACTGAGTGATGTTGGTGGTAGAGCAAACAGTGGTATTGAGAAGATCTAGAGTAGTGTGAGCAGAGTTACCGACCCAGCGGTCGCTTGGATGCGTTGAGCAGGCGTTGCGTCGTCTGGAAGATCCGTCTTGTAGACTGTGAACGTAAGAACAACTCCCAAGTGATCCGACTCGAGAAGCCGGAACGGACTCGTGAGAGCTCCCTTGCCGCTTGCTCGGGAGCGTAAGATGTTCTCTCGATCCTCCTACAAAAGCCACAAAAGAAGCGCTTAAGTTGATGGAGGAAAACTTTGGAAGACAAATCGAAAACTTATAGCAAACCTCGCCAGACATCATGTCCACGGACGCTAGATGGGCGAGAGTGTTCTGCGAGAGAACCGTAGGAGCGTACTCGTCCAGGTTCTGAGCTCGCGGAGCATTGCTTCGCATCTCTTTGATGCTCCATCCCATCTCCTCCTCGAAAGCTCGCCGTTGCCAGTGCTCCACATTGTGAGCATACGCCACCCCGGACATGAGCGGCCTCTCGAAGGACGTCCTCGCAGTGTAGGCCGCAAAAGTCTCCTGCAAAGCAACAAGCCACGAAAGCTGAGCTAAAGTTCCAACTCCAAAAGCTCGAAAGCTGGCCTTGTTCTTGAGAGAAAAGCTCTCAAGAACCAGGCCAACTTTCGAGCAAAAACCAGAAAAACTGCCTTGCCTGATCGAGCGCGGATGGCTGCTTCGCGAGATGGAAAGTGGTGACGAGGGCCGTCAAGGATCGGACGTGGTTCATGCTGGAATTAAACTGGTCCTGGAGCATCCACGCTCGCTCCTTGCACATATTCGCGAGCGTCTCCCTCCGGCGCTCAATGTAGGAGTCCGTGAGCGAGTGATTGATGTAGACCGCGGCTCCAAGCCCGAGGATCAACCAAAGAACCAGCAGCTTGCCGTGATACTTCTCCCCAAAGTATTTTACGTGGCGCTGCTTGCTCATGCTAGCACTGCTGCCACTGCTGCTGCTACTCATCGTGGTCGTCGTTTGAGTCGTGGTTTGCGTGGTTGTCTGCTGGATCGTCTGCGTGGTGGTGGCGCTCGATGGTCCCAGCAATCGCCCCCTAGAAGAAGACGAGGAGGACGTGATCATCACCAAGTTGCTGTTAACTTGGTGCTTCCACGAAGAATTCCTAGCTCGCGCCTTGAGCTCCTCCGTGGTGGAGAGCTTCTCCTCCGGCATTGCCTCTCTGCTCTTCCTCTGGAGCTTGATCCTCACAGCAGCTGCCGCTGCCGCTAAGAAGCTCACATCGTCCCGCGGTGGAGGAACTTGACACATCGATCGATTTCTTGGGATTTTTTTCTTCTTCACTCTTTCCCTCTCTTGCTAAGCTCCTCCACACTGCCACTCCATGGACGATCCTAAAACCCGTCGCCCAGAGGCCACATTCCACGACCCAGTACCAAAACTCGCTCCATCGCTCCCTCGGAGAACCTCCGCCGACCCATCTATCACTCCCCTGGTAGAATGCGTGCTCATCTCTCTCCCAAAATCTCTCCTCTCTCTCTCTCTCGCTCTCTCTCCTCTCTCTCACCTCGCGCGATCAATCGATTTAGCCCATCCTCTCTCCTCCTGGCGGCCTGGGCGAGAAGAGGGACTATTGCTTTCGCTGTGTGTGTGTGTGTGTGTGCTCGAGAGAGAGCTCACACATGGCCCAAAGCCGTGGCCACAACCCGCACGGCCGTACCCGCACCGTACAGGATTTGATTTTGGGACCGACCGGTTGGCATGTCCATCCAAACCATAGACATATGATATGCGGGCCACAGCAAATCTTCCATACAGGCGTACCACCGGATTTGTTTTCATTTCTTTTTCGCCTCCAATGCGACTTGGAGTGGCGTGGAGCAACAAACCCTTTGCCCTAAAATTTATTGAAAGGTCTTCTTCGTTATGGTTTCTAGAATTTTTCCTTTTTAACTGTTTTTCTTATCTTTTTTATCCACTGGTGGGATATTTTTTCTCGCTTTTTATAAGAAAAGTTGTCGGACGCACATAAGAGCACGATTGACTTTGGGTAAAAATTTTGTTAGACTTTCTGGTGAAAGGGTGGATTCTCTCTTGCAAAATCATGGGTATGGGCGAATTGTTCCTTTTTTTTTTTCTTTTTACATGCTCTCTTTGTTGTGAGTGTGTCTTCTTGAAAAGTTCTGTCCAGCTTTGGGGCGAACCTTGGACTCCATGCGAAACAGTCAACAGATGGATCGAATCAGCACAATGCAGTGTGATGATGATACATCAGCATCATCATCCAGCCGACTTCGATTCGATGGTGCAAGCAGCAGAGAGAGAGAGAGGATCGAATTGTAATCAAGCCAAAGCCCACCATTTTAGTTGGGGTCTTTTCAAGAACAAAGGGGAGCGAGCGGTGTAAAAAAAACTTCACTGTTGTCACTAAGCAAGATCTGCAAAAGAGATGGTGAACAAGAATTCCACTGCGGAGATGATGCCAAGAAGAAGCAATCGAGAAAGTTAAAAGTAGAGCTTTCCTTGCCTCGAGAAGAACAGTGTTGCCCACCAGCAAGTTTCTTCCTGGAATCAATCTCACGCCTTCCAACAATGATCTGTTCGAGAAGAAAGAAGGCGATATCACAAGATCGACTACCTTTTTCCTTCCACAATGATCGAGGGGACACATACCAGCCGGGACTTGCGAACGATCTCGCAAGGCCATTTCCAGAACCATGAACGATCGCCCAACAAAGAATGGAATTCTAGACTCTGCGCTTCTTTGGAGGGCGGCATCCATTGAAAGGAATGGCGGTCACGTCCCTGATCTTGAGCACTGTGAGCCCGCCCTGCTTGAATCCTCGCAGCAAGTACTTCCTCTTGCCCACCCCAAATCCTCCTTTGAGCCTCACCTCCACCGCTTTCATCCCCAGCTGCGCGGCCCCTCGCGCCGCCTGCTCCGCCACCGCATTCGCCGCAAACTTGGAGTCGCGATGCGAACCCTTGAATCCACACATCCCCGCCGACGCCTGCGCCCTCGCGTTGCCCTCGAAATCCGTGATCGTGACAAACACATTGCCGTGCGTGAATCGCGAGTGCGCGATTCCGGTCTTGCGCGGCGGCGCCGACCCCGATCCTCCCGCTGCTGCCGTGCCGCCGCTGGGCGATGCCGCCGTCTTCACGCCGCAGAGACGCTGGCAGAAGAGAGCGCCCGATTCCGCCAGCGATCGCAAAGCCCTACGCGCAGCCAGCGCCATGAGAAATTTTAGGGTTCTTGGCGTGGGCACATTTTAGGGTATCTTGCTTAGCGTAATCGCTATCTTCTACACAGTAGCTCGTTTAGTAGCGTTTGTGGATTAGGGCGCCCATCGCCCACGCCCAGTGTGGAGGGCGGAGATGGAGACGCCAATGCTGTGAGTGAATGAATCGAGGTACGATTTAGCGGCAGCGCGAGGTCGCCGATCTAATTGCGCGCCGGATCTAGATTCTAGATCTGGGAGATGGAGGATTTCGCGAACTTGCTCCACAGGGATTATGGCATCAAGCCCCAGGGCAAGATGGCTCCCATGTCAGCTGCCAAGGCCACGGCATCCGCCGGGGGTGAGCCGGCGATGAAGGGTAAGAGCAGCAGCGGCGGCAGCAATGCTAGATCGGCCAGAGCTTCCTTCGGAGACGACGATCTCTTCTTTGGTTCCAAGCCGCGCAATGCCTCTTCTTCCTCGGAGCCGCTGGGTGGATCCTACGACGATGTTTTCGGTGGTCCGCCCAAATTTGCTCCTCCCAAGCACACATCGTCCTCCGCCCCATCGGTGCCTGTCTACGAGGACATCTTTAGATCGCAGCCGCCGCCTCCGCCATCGTCGTCCTCTTCCAGAGATCACTCTCTCCCGGTTTTCGACGCTCCTTACGAGGATGATATCTTCGTGGGTGTGCGAGGGACTCGCTCCTCCTCGGGCGTTTCTTACGACAATGTCTTTGGTGGTGGTGGAGGAGGAGCTAGCTCCAGTGAAAGCCCGACGGATGATCTGCTTGGGGGATATAGATCGGGACCAAAGACCAAACCTCCTCCGCCACAGTTCGACACTGGCTCCACACCTTACGATGATGACCTGATACCAGGCATGGGATCCGGGTACGTGTTCTTTGTAGTTTCGTCCTATAAGTCTGGAAACTTAAAAATGCTGTTTCCAGGTACTCTTCTTCCAAGCAGCCAGAGCCGAGCTCTTTCATCTCTGTCGACGAACCGGCCCCTGCTTCGACGGAGGTAGACCCTTTCGCCGGTATTGAACCCGATCCATTCTCTGGCGTACCTTCTGTTTCAGATCCTTTGGATCCCTTCACCGGCTATCCAAAGTCAGTTAGACAAAGCTTTGGTTCTTCCAGGAAAGCCGACGTGGACAACGATAGTGATGATTCTTTGCCAGAAGGAAAAGAGGAAGCGGTGCAGGAAGATTATGTTCCGGCGAAGGACTACGTCCCGAATGAAGAGTACATTCCAGCAGATAGTTATGGATCAGGGGACTTCACGGAGGAGGGAACTTCTCGTGAGTTTAAGGAACCTTGGGTGACCGTTCACAGTGTGCGGCTCTTGACCGACCCTACAGTAGCGCCGCCTCCTTCCCGACCACCTCCTGGTCTTGGCTACCACGAGAGTCCGTATGTGAATGGTCGTCACGACTTTCAAGGGGGACTAAGTGACGATGAGGACGAGGCAGAAGCAAGATACAAGCTTGAGAAGGAAAGAGAGTTGCAGAGAAAAGCGGAAAGAGAAGAAGAGGAACGCATACAGAGAGAACGGGAGGAAAAGGAGAGGTTGAGGAGAGAACGGGAGGCTGTTGAAAGAGCTACTCAGGAAGCGAGGCAGAGAGCAGCGAAACAGGCTCGTGAGAGAGTCGAGCGAATTGCTGTGGAGAAGGCGACGGCTGAGGCTCGTGAAAGAGCAGCTGCTGACGCTAGGCAGAGGGCTGCTGAGAGAGCAGCAGCCGAGAAAGCGGCTTCGGAAAAAGCAGCGGCCGAGACTCGAGCAAGGGAACGAGCAGCAGTGGACAGAATCAATGCTCAAGTGCGCGAGAGAGCAGCAGAAGAAGCACGAATAGCAGCAGAAAAGAAGGCGGGGGAACGAGCTGCCGTGGGAAAGATCAATGCTCAAGTTCGCGAAAGAGCTGCTGAAGAAGCACGTAAAGCTGCTGCTGCGCAAAACAAAGCGAAAGAGCAAAGATCATCGTCTGACGACTTCGAAGGAGGTATCTTCGGCCGCGCAACAAGTGCTCCCAAGCAACGACCTCCAACTTCGGTAAAAACGGCGCCTTTGTTATATTTTTGGTTGACGAGCCCCTCGTATTTTTCCTACAGGATTTCTCGAAGCCGTTTCCTTCGAGTGATAAAAGAGGCTCCTCGGGCGCGCCAGTGAAGAAAGTCTCATCAGTCTCTGGCATTGATGAGTTAACGAATTTATTTGGTAAGCAGAAGGCGTCTTTAGTGCAATGGTCGGCTAACGGGCTCTATGCTTTCTCTTAGACAATCCATCTTCTCCTTTCAGAGAGATAGATGGTGAAACACCTGATAGAAGGAAGGCTCGGCTGGAACGGGATCAACGCACACAAGCACGAGCAGTGAGTGTTTTCCAAGTTTCACACTTTACGCTTGCACTTACGTGCTGTTTAATAGAGACAAGCTCTGGACGAAAAGCATCGGAGAGATTTGGCGACCCAGAGAGAGCAAGCGGAGAAACACGTAAAACGTTTTTCAAACATTAAGATGCGTAGAACCTTAATTCGGTTGCATACTTTTGCAGAGAGCTAGCGAGACATTAGACTCGGAGATAAAGAGATGGGCTGCAGGGAAGGAAGGAAATCTTCGTGCCTTGCTTTCGACCCTGCAATATGTAAGTAGAAAACGCATTGATCGATTCATCTCAATTCTTTGGTCCATGAATTCGCAGGTATTGTGGCCGGAATGTGGGTGGCAACCCGTTTCCCTCACGGATTTACTTACTGGAGCGGCCGTGAAGAAAGTGTATAGAAGAGCTACTCTGTGCGTGCATCCTGATAAGGTGCAGCAGAAAGGAGCGACGATCCAGCAGAAGTACATCGCAGAGAAAGTGTTTGATTTGTTGAAGGTGGGGAGATTCTCTCTCTTGTTCTTCCCATTTCTCTGGAGCTCACATCTCTTGTTCTTGGTTTTCTCCAGGAAGCTTGGAACAAATTTAACTCAGAAGAGCTTTTTTGATTGGCAGGGATCGTTGTTTCGCATTTTCTTCTTCGCAGGTATTATTGTAAATGTGGTGGTGATGCCAAATAAACAAAGATATCACATTTTGAGGCTCAAGGGTTTAGGGTTAGGGTGGGAGGGGCGATGGAGAAGGAGAGGAGGGATAGGCGCCATAGGGTGGAGGAGGACGATCGCTGGCACCATGACGAGAAGCGCGAGCGGCGTCACCACAGGGACGTGGATCGGGAGGAGGATGATCATCGCCGGCGCCACAAATCTTCTTCTTCGAGGTATGACAAGCAGGAGGATGATAGGCGGCATCACAAATCCAAGGAGGAGAGGCACGACCGAGGTCACAAGTCTTCCAAGGAGGAGAAGGAGAAAACGAGGTCGGAGAAGCGCGGCAGGGAGCAAGATGATGATTTGAAGAAGCGTAGCAGGGATCAGGAAGATGGATCTAAGGTGGAGAAGCGGAGCAGGGATCAGGAGGATGAATCAAGGAAGGACGCGAAGCGCAAGCGCGATTTGGAGAAGGAGACGGCCGATAAGTCGGTGAGTAAGCGGAGTCGTAGCGAATTTGCTGAAGAAGAGAAAGCTTCCAATGTAGAGATGAATGGACAAACACCAGCACAACCAGTGGTGGCCTTAACTCCGGCTCCAACTCCGACACCGGCTCCATTTTCATCTCCAGCTCCAGCTCCTGTTCCTGTTCCTACCCCTGTTCCAGCTCCAGCAGCAGCTCCAGCGGCTGTTCCACAGACTGCCCCTGTTGCTCCAGAACCGTCTCCAGCACCGGAACCAGAGGTGGCACCAGTTGCTGGTGATGCATCGGCCATAGCGAAGGCCAAGGCGAGAATGAGGCAGCTTCGCAAGGAGCTCAACGAGAAGCTGAAAAAGTTGCCACTGGTAAGTGAAGTGGAAGTTTGTTATTTCTTTCGTTTGAGTTCCTTTTTCTCTTCTCTTGTTCCTAGTTGGAGCAGCTGGCAAACGAAAATGATAGCGCGAACACTATAACCCCAGATTCTGTGGTGCCTTCCGGAACAGTGGACGTTGTTGCTAATGCCGCAAACATAGCGAGTTACAAGCGTGCTCAGGAATGCGTAGCTCGCCTCGGCTTCCAACAGCCGCCTGGTTCCATGGCACTTCACGTACCGGGTGTTCCATCGGCTGGGCCAAAAGTTGTAAAGCACCCCGTTCTTCGCTTGGACAAGCAAGGAAGAGAGATTGACGAGCACGGTGTCGTTGTGGATAACCGGAAGTCAAACATCAGCACACTCAAGGTGAGTTGGTTGTTTTGGGGTGCGGTCTGATCTTTCTACGGTTTGTTATATGTACTTAGGTGAACATCAACAAACAAAAGAAGGATGCTTTCCAGATTTTACATCCAGAATTGGAGGAGGATCCAATAAATAATCCTCATTTTGATGCGGACATGGGAATGGACAGAACAAAGCTTGTACGTCAAAGGAGAAACTCCTTTCAGTTCGTGGAAGAGGGAAGATGGACGAAAAAGGCGGAAATCTTTCGACTTAATGTAAGGACTCTGATTTTTTTTCTTCTACTAGTCACTCATAACTTGTGTTTAGAATCGTTTTGGGGCTGCTAAAGCCCGCGAGATAAGGTCGAAGCAGGCGGCCCTTGCAAAGGCCAAAGCAGAAGGGGACATTAACCCAAATCTTATAGAAGTTACGGAGAGGATATTCAAGGATGACAAACAGCACCAAGACCCGATTCCTCATGTGGAGTGGTGGTAAGTTTTCTTGAGTTAAGCACAAAGTAAAATCTGACATGAAGTTTTCCTACAGGGATTTCGCTGTTCTACCTCCTCAGACACAGAGTTACGACGAGGTGATCGACGGAGCTGAGGTGAAGTTCAAGAAAGAGAAGATCAATATCTACGTTGAGCACCCCGTACCGATCGAACCCCCAGCAGAGCCAGCGCCTCCACCACCACAGCCACTCAAGCTAACGAAAAAGGAGCAGAAGAAAATGCGGACCCAGCGTCGTCTAGCCAGGGAAAAAGAAAGGCAAGAGCTGATCAGGCAGGGAAAGATCGAACCTCCAAAAGCAAAGGTGAAGATGTCCAACCTCATGAGCGTGCTGGGAGCCGAGGCAACCCAGGACCCGACGAGGATGGAACACGAGATCAGGACTGCCGCGGCCGAGAGAGAGCGCGCTCACACGGACAGAAACCTCGCCAGGAAGCTCACTCCAGCCGAGAGACGCGAGAAGAAGGAAAAGAGGCTCTTTGACGACCAGGGGACGCTGGAAACCATAGTCGCGGTGTTCCGGGTGAGCGACATCTCCCATCCCCAGACTCGGTTTAAGGTGGACATCAACGCCCAGGAGAACAGGCTCACAGGTTGCGCGATCATCACCGACGGCATGACGGTGGTGATCGTCGAGGGTGGCGCAAAGTCGATCAAGCGATACACCAAGCTGATGCTCCGGAGGATCAACTGGTCCGCGAAAGAAGAAGGCAGCGGTGGAAACGAGCAAGGGGACGAGGAGGATGGAAACGAGGAGAAGGAGAACAAGTGCGTCCAGGTGTGGCAGGGAAGCGTAGCTCGGCCAGCGTTTGACAGGTTCTTCTTCCAAAAGTTCCACACCGCCGGGGCCGCGAGGAAGTACTTGTCCGACGCTGGAGTTGGGCATTACTGGGACAGCGCGCTGCATTACAAGGAGGAGTAGATAAAGAAGAAGATCGCGATGATCCATTGCGCTGCATTACAAGGGGGAGTAGAAAAGAAGATCGCGAGCGATGCAAAGAAGGATGATGGTCGAGTGGTGATCGAAGTTTTGCTACTGCTACGAGCAAGATGGTGAGTGGTCGAGTTTCTTGCTGAAGGATCTGGTTTTAGAATTCTTTCGTGTTTCTTCCAGCGCTCGATCGAGGTAGAAAGCTGCGAAATGCTAAAGCTTTGGTCAAATAAAAGAGGAGGGTTTGGTTTAATTGGTTTAAAAACAAGTATATGATTGGAGGATCACGGGAGGAATAGGGAGGAGAGAGCGATGGCGGCGAATCACGCGCCATTGTCGCCGCTCAGCTTCCTCTATAGATCCGCGGCAGTGTTTGGGGACAGGACATCGCTGATTCACGGCGCCTCATCCTTCACTTGGTCGCAGACTCTGGATCGATGCCGTCGTCTCGCGTCCGCAATCTCTCTCCGGTTCGGCGTCAATCCTGGCGCTGTGGTATGCGAAATTCCAGTGCTCTCGATCGAAATTGGCCGATTGATCCATCGAAATATCGTGTTCTTGGTTGTCATTTCTTGTTCTTCCAGGTCTCCGTCGTGGCCCCCAACGTCGCCGCGATCTATGAGATGCACTTCGGCGTTCCCATGGCCGGGGCTATCCTCAACACGATCAACTTCCGGCTGGACGCGCGCACAATCGCGCTGCTGCTGGATCACGCCCAGAGCCGCGCGGTCTTTGTGGACTCGGAGTTCTTCCCTCTCGTCACGCAAGCTCTCCAGCTCCTGGCCGAATCGTCCAAGCCTCTCCCCCAGCTCGTCCTAGTCAAAGATAAGTCCTATACTTCTCAAGCAGCTCACAGCTATGGTGGAATTCTAGAGTACGAGGAGTTGCTCGAGAATTCCAGCCCGGATTTTCCTCTCGTCCTTCCCGACGATGAAGAACAGTCCATCGCCTTGAACTACACGTCCGGTACCACTTCCAGGCCCAAGGGCGTTCTCTACACTCACCGTGGAGCGTATCTCAACTCCATAGCCAGCATTCTCCTGTGGGAGGTGGGACCTTTTCCAGTCTACCTCTGGACGCTCCCAATGTTTCACTGCAATGGCTGGTGCTTTACGTGGGCGATCGCGGCCCAGGGTGGAACCAACATTTGTCTACGCAACGTCACTGCCAAAGCCACCTTTGATGCCATAGCCGAGAGCTCCGTCACTCACCTCTCTGGAGCTCCCACGGTCCTCAACATGATCGCCAGCTCCATCCCCAGCGAGAGGAGAGATCTTCCGGACAAGGTGGCGGTGATCGTCGGGGGCGCTCCTCCGCCAGCGGCGATCCTCTCGAGCATGGAGGAGCTCGGCTTCGTCGTGACACACGCTTACGGCCTCACGGAGACTTACGGGCCGGCTTTAGTCTGCGCGTGGCGGCCTCACTGGAACTCTTTTCCTCTCGAGGAGCGAGCCAAGCTCAAGAGCCGGCAAGGCGTCGTCCACCTCGGGCTCCACCAGGCGGACGTCAAGGATCCGGCAACCATGGAGTCGGTTGCCCGAGATGGCCGGACGCTGGGAGAAGTGATGGTCCGCGGAAGCACTGTGATGAAAGGCTACCACAGAGACGATGAAGCGACGAGGGCGGCGTTCCAGGGAGGATGGTTCCATACCGGTGACTTGGGAGTGATCCATCCGGATGGTTACATCCAGCTGCGCGACCGATCCAAGGATATCATCATCTCGGGTGGCGAGAACATCAGTAGCATCGAGGTGGAGTCGGTTCTCTACGGCCATCCGGAAGTTCTTGAGGCGGCTGTGGTCGCTCGGCCCGACGATTTCTGGGGGGAGACGCCCTGTGCATTCGTGACGCTCAAGGACATTGGTGGTGCGACCAGCGCTCGAGGGATCATCGATTACTGCCGGGCTCGGATGCCCCACTTCATGGTTCCTCGATCCGTGGTGTTTGGAGAGCTTCCAAAGACGTCCACTGGTAAGGTCCAAAAGTTCTTGCTCCGAGACAGGGCCAGAGCCATGGGAAGCCTCAAAGCTCCCAGCAAGCTTTGATACTAATTATGTTTAGTAAGATGGTAGTAATATAAGAAAGCATTGATCAAGCAGAATTCTAATATATCACAAACTGAGTTGTTTCAAATGTGCCACAATGGCACGTACCATCAATAACAGGTCCTTTGCAGCAATCGTGCAAAAAGCTCCTTTTAAGCACTTGTGAATAGACTAACATACTGAGATATACTTATTAGCATCTTAAATCATATGCTGCATGAATACAACAGTGAACGAATAACGTTGTTACAGGATTGAATAAGATTTCCTGCTTTCTCGTAATTCATGGTCAAGCGACAAGGTTGGTCCAAAACTTCTCTCCTCCAGTATTTGTTATTGAAACTGCGAGGAGACTTTGTCGAGAAGAGGAACTCTTTTAACTGCGAGAGAGATTTTGTTAAACCAGTTATGAAAAAAAGAGAAGCTGTGATACTTACCATCACCTGTAGCAAGCCATGGTTACTGGGGTGGAAATAATCTTCTCAGCAACTTTGCCAATATCATCCAAAGTCAGCTCTCGAACGGTGTCGATAAACTCCTTTGCGGGTTTCCTGTCACCAAATAAAATGGTCACAAATAGATTCACAAACCATTTAGCTCTCTAACCTGCAACCATAGGTGAGAATTTGCCGACCAATGTCCTCATTCACGACCACCTACAAAGAAAACATTTTGTTTATCTATGGAAAGACAAAAAGTTTTTTTTTTTTGGAAGAAAATATTGTTCTACTTCACGAACCCGAGACTCGAGATTAATCAAAACAAGTGAAACGGTTGCATTCTGTGTGCGCTCCAATTCAATCTCGTCGACTGGAATGGAAAAGAGCGATCAAAGACAAGCTAGAATTGAAAAGTTTCAAAGTAGCTCATCTCCTATGAGATCTACAAGCTCGCCTACAAACTTGTGCTCCTAGAAGAAGATCACAGGAACACGCGTTTAGCAACTAGAAACTATTGCGAGAGAGTGCTACTCACAGACGATGCGTGAATTCCAAACAAGCCGGAGTCATTGTACACGGAAGTAAAAGCAGTAAAATTTTCCACCTTGGGATGAACAGCCAGAACGCGAGTATCTGGAAGAGTTATTGCAAAAATTAAGTAAGAAGAAAACCAAAACCACGAACGATACTTACACAATCTAGAATGGACACCCTTGCCCTGGCCTCCGGAAGAAAACGAACCACCTCCTCCAAGAAGCGACTAAAGGACGTAGACATTCCTACAGTAAACTTGATAGAGAAGGGAAGCTTACTTGTAACACGGTCGCCGTGACAGCATCGCATTCGTTTCTCCAGCCACCAGGGATTTCAAGCGCGATGGAAACCGATGTTCTTGACTTTCTACTGCATATTTATTGAACTCAAACCTTTAGTAATTCATTGTAGGTGTCAATAAATCTGAAAAGATCACAAAATCAGCATATGCATCTAAAAACAAAGTCCTCTGCTTAATATCTAAGCTCTACAAGCTTATTGATAAAGTGTAGAAAATCTTCATAAAAAAGTTGGTTTGGATTGGCTGATTACCATGAAATATGGCCAAGTTTTGTCATAAAAACTCAATTTTCATTTTGTCCTCTTAAAGGTTGTGAAACAACTTTCCCAAATTACTTCCTGGTTGACATATTAATAGCCATCCCAGACACAAAATTGATTTACACCTAACCCAGGCCATAGAATATTCTTGAAAAATTCCCCTGATTTACTTGAAGTGCATAGAAACAGGAGGTTCTCTCCCACGGTTTGATGCAAAGGATGCCCATGGGAGATTGTTATGGTGGATGATGCCAAGGTGCCACAATGACATTGTGACATAAAGGTTTCCTCTCAATTTCAAGCAAAAACTTTAAAGTGGGTTTCTTACAGTTGGCTCAGACGCGCATGGCATACAGGACATAGATGCGGAATAGTAGAAGACACAAGATGAGAGCTTCACATTATCAGCCATGGCGACCATAAAATCCTTCTTCTTCTTCTCCCAGTGGCCAGCATGTTGCCTGAAATCTCCGACGGAAGTTATAAGCAGCTACTTGGGCTTTTTTTTGTCGATGGTGTTTGCTTTTGCTGGAGAAAGAGTAACGAGTGTTAGCGGATTTTTCTTTTCTTGTGGGAAAATACCTTGATGAGCTCTTCCTGCTGTTCTGGAAATGCTGGCGCTCTTCTCGCTGGGAAGCAGACGAACGCTCTGCAAGAAATCAAACAGCAAAAGATGAAATAACCAGAAACGAAAGTCCAAGTTTTTACCTGGAACAGAGCGATCTAAAAGTCAAGCCATTTGCTTAGCTGCAGAAAGCTCTTCAAACTTAAGACGCTATCATCTCTTGTGGTGTCAAGGAAACTAGCCCTCGGGTTCCGAAAGCGAGTTTCTGGTTGGGCCTTCCTCTTCAACTTATCCGGCCAAGGATCATCACTAACGTGGAGTTCTTCAGCCTCACTCGCCACCTTCCTGCCCTTTCTGGAAGAAGCATCGGAATGAGAACAGCTCCATCCTTGAAGCCACATATTTGTTGTTGTTGAGCGACTCTATATGTTGCTGCTGCTGCTGCTGCTGCTGCTTCTCTTTCTCCCTCCTCTCACCGCAAGACAATCAAGCAAACTGGGAAGAACTCGATACCCGAGTTGTGTGGAGGAACGTAGCGAAAGCTGCGAGCGACAGCAGTAGCGTTCCTGTGCTGTGCTAATCTTCTCACGGCCAAGCTGACGCTCCCACTGGCAGCACGGCACCAAGATCTTAGATCGTCGAATCTTGGTCGATCCAGTCGATGGAAGCTGCTTGAATTCCCGGGGCAATCTAAACAAGGAGTCGTGGCCATCTGGATCCAAAGTCTTCGATGTGGAGCTGCTGCCCAGGCTTACTTGCAATAGCGGTCGGCTTTCTTCCCTGGATCCCTGGATTTCTTCTTCGTCTCGACCGCTTGCCCAAGAGCCCTAAAATTTAGGGTCCTTAAACCTTGAATAAACCCTAGCGAGGGGGATGAAGAAAGCGAGGCGGCTGGGCGAGGTGAGATCTCTCATTGGGAGCTTGAATGCGGCGATTGAATCAGTTCTTTCAGGCCGCTCTCGATACTTGGAGATCGATCTCGACTTCCAGAGTCTCCAAGCAAGCTTTAGCAGCCAGAACAGCAGCCGCAGAGGAGCCCAAAGGAAAGGGGTTGCTCTCGTGGTTCCAGCGCAAGAAAAAGAAGGGCCTGCTATCAGATCTTCCCACGCTCTACGAGCCTCTTCCAGGCGTCAAACTCCCTCTCGATCTGGACGATGGCTTTGCTCTGCCAGTGGAGACTAAAATCACCAAACTCGCCAATGGATTGACGGTGGCTTCCGAGAACACTATGGTGAGAAGCTCTTGCCATTCTCGATGGTTTTCTACGCTCAAAATCGTTTTTTTTTGTGAGAGTTCTTACTCTATCTCTCGTGCAGGGACCGACAGCAACCATTGGAGTTTATGTTGATTCCGGCAGCTCTCACGAGACTCCTTTCAACTCCGGCGTGAGCCATATTCTGGAACGCATGGCTTTCAAGAGCACGCGAAACCGGACGCACTTGAGGCTTGTCCGCGAAGCGGAAGCCATCGGCGGTAATGTTCTTGCGTCTGCTTCGCGAGAGCAAATGTCTTATACGGGTGATGTGATAAGGAGCTTTGTTCCCGAGATTGTGGAGCTTCTTGCCGATAGCATCCGGAACCCGGCTTTCCACGACTGGGAAATCAAAGAACAGGTCCCTTTCTCGCTGGTTGATTGATCATCTTTGAGAACTTTCTTTTTCTTTTGGATCCACAGGTGGATATCTTGAGAGAAGAGATTCAAGAGATGGCAAAGGATCCTCAAGCGATGCTTCTGGAGGCTCTCCATCCTGCCGGTTATAAGGGCCCTCTTGGCAAAGCACTGGTGACAAGCGAGTCCTCGTTGGATAGAATCGACTCTCGCGCTCTTCACGAGTTTGTAGCTGTAAGTTCTTCCTCTCTTCTTTTTGTTTTCCTTGTTCTTGTGGTTTTCTAATACCATGGATCTTTCTAGGCAAACTATACAGCTTCACGGATGGTTTTCGCTGGCTCTGGCGTCGAACACGACTATTTCCTCTCGCTGGTTAAACCGTTGTTCGAGGACATGCCTCTGGTGGCTCCTCCAGAGCCTGTGAAGTCCGAGTATGTTGGTGGCGAGTGGCGGCTTCAAGGCGAAAGTGATGTAAGAGTTTTTCTTCTTCCTCTTCGTTTTTTTCTTGTTCTTTCTGTGTGGAAGTGTAGACAGATTTAATACTTTCATTCCTTAAGCAGACTACATCGGTTTCCATCGCGTTTGAAATCCCTGGTGGCTGGAGAAACGAACGCGATGCTGTCATGGCGACCGTGTTACAAGTAAGCTTCCCTTCTCTATCAAGTTTACTGTAAGAATGTCTGCGTCCTTTAGTCGCTTCTTGGAGGAGGTGGTTCGTTTTCTTCCGGAGGCCCGGGCAAGGGTGTCCATTCTAGATTGTGTAAGTACGGTTCGTGGTTTTGGTTTTTTTCTTACTTGGATTTTCCAATAACTCTTCCAGATACTCGCGTTCTGGCTGTTCATCCCAAGGTGGAAAATTTTACTGCTTTTACTTCCGTGTACAATGACACCGGCTTGTTTGGAATTCACGCATCGTCTGTGAGTAGCACCCTCTCGCAATAGTTTCTAGTTGCTAAACGCGTGTTCCTGTGATCTTCTTCTAGGAGCACAAGTTTGTAGGCGAGCTTGTAGATCTCATAGGAGATGAGCTTATTTCTGTGGCAGAACCTGGAGAAGGTACTTTGAAACTTTTCTCTTCTCGCTTGTCTGTGATCGCTCTTTTCCATTCCAGTCGACGAGATTGAATTGGAGCGCGCAAAGAATGCAACCGTTTCACTTGTTTTGATGAATCTCGAGTCTCGGGTTCGTGAAGTAGAACAATATTTTCTTCCAAAAATTTTTTTTTTTTGTCTTTCCATAGATAAACAAAATGTTTTTTGTAGGTGGTCGTGAATGAGGACATTGGTCGGCAAATTCTCACCTATGGTTGCAGGTTAGAGAGCTAAATGGTTTGTGAATCTATTTGTGACCATTTTATTTGGTGACAGGAAACCCGCAAAGGAGTTTATCGACACCGTTCGTGAGCTGACTTTGGATGATATTCGCAAAGTTGCTGAGAAGATTATTTCCACCCCAGTAACCATGGCTTGCTACGGCGATGGTAAGTATCACAACTTCTCTTTTTTTCATAACCTGTTTAACAAAATCTCTCTCGCAGTTAAAAGAGTTCCTCTTCTCGACAAAGTCTCCTCGCAGTTTCAATAACAAATACTGGAGGAGAGAAGTTTTGAACCAACCTTGTCGCTTGACCATGAATTACGAGAAAGCAGGAAATCTTATTCAATCCTGTAACAACGTTATTCGTTCACTGTTGATTCATGCAGAATATGCTTATAAGATGCTAATAAGCAAAGGACATGTTATTGCGTGCCATTGTGGCATATTTGAAACAATATCAGAATTCTGCTTGATGCTTTCTTATAATACAACCATCTATTAGTATCAAAGCTTGCTGGGAGCTCTGAGGCTTCCCATGGCTCTGGCCCTGTCCCGGAGCAAGAACTTTTGGACCTTACCAGTGGAAGTCTTTGGAAGCGCTCCAAACACCACAGATCGAGGATTCATGAAGTGGGGCAGCCGAGCCCGGCAGTAATCGATGATCTCTCGAGCGCTGGTCGCACCACCACTCCTCTTGAGCGTCACGAACGCGCAGGGCGTCTCCCCCCAGAAATCGTCGGGCCGAGCGACCACGGCCGCCTCGAGAACTTCCGGATGGCCGTAGAGAACCGACTCCACCTCGATGCTACTGATGTTCTCGCCACCCGAGATGATGATATCCTTGGATCGGTCGCGCAGCTGGATGTAACCATCCGGATGGATCACTCCCAAGTCACCGGTATGGAACCATCCTCCCTGGAACGCCGCCCTCGTCGCTTCATCGTCTCTGTGGTAGCCTTTCATCACAGTGCTTCCGCGGACCATCACTTCTCCCAGCGTCCGGCCATCTCGGGCAACCGACTCCATGGTTGCCGGATCCTTGACGTCGGCCTGGTGGAGCCCGAGGTGGACGACGCCTTGCCGGCTCTTGAGCTTGGCTCGCTCCTCGAGAGGAAAAGAGTTCCAGTGAGGCCGCCACGCGCAGAATAGCGCCGGCCCGTAAGTCTCCGTGAGGCCGTAAGAGTGTGTTACGACGAAGCCGAGCTCCTCCATGCTCGAGAGAATCGCCGGTGGCGGAGGAGCGCCCCCGACTCTCACCGCCACCTTGTCCGGAAGATCTCTCCTCTCGCTGGGGATGGAGCTGGCGATCATGTTGAGGACCGTGGGAGCTCCAGAGAGGTGAGTGACGGAGCTCTCGGCTATGGCGTCAAAGGTGGCCTTGGAAGTGACGTTGCGTAGACAAATGTTGGTTCCACCTTGGGCCGCGATCGCCCACGTAAAACACCAGCCATTGCAGTGGAACATTGGGAGCGTCCAGAGGTAGACTGGAAAAGGTCCCATCTCCCACAGGAGAATGCTGGCTATGGAGTTGAGATACGCTCCACGGTGAGTGTAGAGAACACCCTTGGGCCTGGAGGTGGTACCGGACGTGTAGTTCAAGGCGATGGATTGTTCTTCATCATCGGGAAAGACGAGAGGAAAATCCTGGCTGGAATTCTCGAGCAACTCCTCGTACTCTAGAATTCCACCATAGCTGTGAGCTACTTGAGAAGTATAGGACTTATCTTTGATAAGGACGAGCTGGGGGAGAGGCTTGGACGATTCGGCCAGGAGCTGGAGAGCTTGCGTGACGAGAGGGAAGAACTCCGAGTCCACAAAGACCGCGCGGCTCTGGGCGTGATCCAGCAGCAGCGCGATTGTGCGCGCGTCCAGCCGGAAGTTGATCGTGTTGAGGATCGCCCCGACCATGGGAACGCCGAAGTGCATCTCATAGATCGCGGCGACGTTGGGCGCCACGACGGAGACCTGGAAGAACGCAAGAACAAGAAATGACAACCAAGAACACGATATTTCGATGGATCGATCGGCCAATTTCGATCGAGAGCACTGGAATCTCGCATACCACAGCGCCAGGATTGACGCCGAGCCGGAGTGAGATTGCGGATGCGAGACGGCGGCATCGATCCAGAGTTTGCGACCAAGTGAAGCATGAGGCGCCGTGAATCAGCGATGTTTTGTCCCCAAACACTGCCGCGGATCTATAGAGGAAGCTGAGCGGTGACAATGGCGCGTGATTTGCCGCCATCGCTCTCTCCTCCATCTCCTCTCCTCCAATCATATTCACATATGGTTGTCAATCACAAACATAAAATTGATAAATATCCCTTTACCTTTTTTATGTTTTTTGAGTTGGTCTCTCTATTTCTATCATTAAGATTTCCTCCTTTTCATCATAGTCATCATCATTAATGTCATATTTCTCAATATCCCACTCCTTTGCCATCTATTCTAATATATATCAATGAAATGAGTAAGGAGTATAACTTTAGGGCAATACTACCTAAAACATAGAGAAGGAATAATTTTATGATAGAAAGTTAAAGATTGTTTAAGAGTGCAATATTGAGAGTCTTTGCGAGTTAGAGACTAAGTTGAGCATAATTAATAATAAGCATCTACAATCAATTGAATTGATAGATAAAGCATATAAATTAGTTTTTAGAAGTGGGAAACTGGAGTATAAAAAAGTACCTACTTTTGCTTAATTTTGTTTACAATAGTGCTTAATAATTAATTATTAGCATTGCCATTCATAGCAATGTATAGTTATAAATCAAGGCTTATTGTGAGTTTGAGTTTAGTTTTTGTTTGAGTGCCTTTTATTTGTGATTTTCTCAAGATTATTCAAATAATCTTGAGCAGGCAAGCTCAAAAACAAGATAAAAGGTTAACTAATGAATATCATTATCATCAAAAGTATAAAATTGATGATAAAATTTTCTTTAAGCTATGTAATGTAAAATGGTCTCTAAAAGGAGGTAATAGTGTGAAGTTGTCTCTACAATATTATGGACTTTGGACAATTTTACAATATGTGGGGGATCTTACTTACACTTTGGATTTATTAGTTAGTTTGAAAATTCATCAAACATTCATATCACCAAGTTTAAAACATATATACACTCTAGTGATGTTATGGATCAATTCATAATCCAAGTCCTAAAGATTAATGCTGAAAAGATTAGTCCAATAAGAATTTTCACTCAAAAGTTAGTAAAGGCATATAACAAAACAATTTAGGAATTTTTGGTTCAATAGAATAGTTATTCATGGATGAGGTCACATGAAATCAAGGATGACATGAAAAAAGTGTTTCTGAGTTTCCATTATGGCTTTCCGAAGAAGGGGAAAATTAAGTTTTTTAACCGTATTATTATATAATTTGAGTTATTGCTTTATTCTTATTCTTTTATTTCCATAACTGTATTATCATATAAATTTTTTTTTCTTTCATTGTTGTTTGCTACAATGTTAATATTGCTATTTACACATCTTTTCTCTATGGCTGTATTACTTTGAACTCCCTTCATTTAAGTATTACCTTGGACTCTCTTCATCTAAAGCTAGTTTAGCTTTTCAAATACTACTATTAATGGATGAAAGGAGAACAACACGACCAACTGAAAAATTCTAAGAATATTCTATGAGCGTTGGCCTTTGTTTGTTTCACCCACAGCCATGAAATAAGAAACTAGCAAACAACACAACAAAATCGTGTATCACACCAACATTGTCCTCTGTGGCGTGTCGGATCGATTGATTGGCCACTCATCCTACAAGGAATATCATATTTCCAAGTATATTCTCCATGTGTGGTAGTGTTAAAGCCTGTTAAAACATCAACTTCAGTGATATTTTTGAGTAGGACAATACATTTTGGGCTATCACACACCAAGCCAGATAGAGGATCTGTACAAGTAGTGTATAATAGGATATTATAGAATCTTTCGTTACATATTTTATTTCAACATTTAGTTTCACATTTACGTGGTTTATAACATACAGCCACTGGCAAGTTATGCCGAAGTAGATGTCTAAAGATTCAAGGGTTAAAGAATCTAGAGCCCTAAATTTTAGGGTTCTTAGGGATGGCATCGTCCGCCTACGAGAGCGTCAAGGGAGGTAAGCTCTCGCTCAAGCTCGGCGCCAATGCGGCCGACAGGCCGATCGCGAAGAAGAGGAAGAAGAAGAAATCCAAGGCGCAGGAGGAGGAAGAATCCGGCGCAGGGAAGACACTGGAGGAATCCGGGGGCTATGAGATCGACACAGGGATAGGGCATGCGCCGGATGGGAAGAAGAGTAAGAAATACGAGGAGCTCTTCCCTGTGGAGACGAAGAGATTCGGGTATGAGATCCCGAAATCTTCTGCTGCCGCGGCCGCGGCTGTCGCGGCGTCTGCGAAGGAATCGGCATCGCGAGAGGCGGCTCTGGACGAGCGCGTGAAGAAGAAAGCCGACCGCTATTGCAAGTAAGAAAATACCTTGTCAGCAGCTTAGCTAGTGTGACATGGCCGTGCCACATCGGAGACTTTGGATCCAGATGGTCACGACTCCTTGTTTAGTTTGCTCCGGGAATTCAAGCAGCCATTTGGCCTTCCATCTTCCCGGGACGGCTGGACCAAGATTTGGATTTTTACTGCTCGACGATCTAATGGGAGGCAGCTTTGCTTTGGTGCCGTGCTGCTGGATTTCTCATGGAAGCCCGTGTTGCTGGGAGCCTCAGCTTTGCCGTGAGAAGATTAGCACAGCACAGGAACGCTACTGTTGTCAGCTTTCGCTACGTCCCTCCACACAACTCCGGATATCGAGCTCTTCCCAGTTTGCTCGATTGTCTTGTGTCTTCTAATGGTGGAAGGGATAAGCAGCAGCAGCAGCAGCAGCAGCAACATGGATATAGAGTCGAGCTTCGTAGAGTAGACCAGGGAAGATTTCGTGTCCCTCATGGCTTCAAGGATGGAGCTGCTGCTCGGCTCCCGCCATTGTTATTTTTCTCCTCCGATGCTTCTTCCAGAAATGATAGGAAGGTGGCGAGTGAGGAAGAGAAAGAAAAGGCGAGGAAGTGGCGCAAGAGGCTTGTGGCATCAGTGGAAGAACTCCAAGTTAGTGACGATCCTTTGCCGGATAAGTTGGAGAAGAAGACCCTTCTGCAAAAGACATGGAATCTGCTTGTGAGGATCGGTTCGGGACTGAGAAACATGGCTTCGATGAGCAGGCAAGGTTTTTTGTTAGTGCTAGTTCCTTGATTTTCTTAATAGTTTGCTTACTCCAGAGAGGACTGGGCAAAGTGGCTCAAGAAAGCAAAGACGACTGTGTGGCTGGAGTTGCAACATTATTGGGTTGGAAGTAAGTTGCTATGGGCGGAGATCCGGATTTCCACCAGGCTTCTCGTCCAGCTCTCGGGTGGTAAGAAGCTAAGCCGAAGAGAACAGCTCCAACTAAGGCGGACAGCAGGAGACATTGCTCGTTTAGTCCCGTTCATAATTATCGTCATCGTGCCCTTCATGGAGTTCTTACTGCCAGTTCTTCTCAAGGTCTTCCCCAACATGCTACCATCAACATTCCAGGACAAGTTGAAGCAGGAGGTCCGTTTTATATCTTTTGCGCCAACGTACAATCAGTCTAGTTCTGTTTTTTCAGGCGGAGTTGACAAAACGATTGGAAACACGGCTTCGCCACGCGAAAGGCTTAAAGAATGCGTTACTGGAAATGGTGGACGAGCTCAAATCCAAACGGGGAGAAGATATTCAGAAAACCGCCAAAAATCTTGACGACTTTATGACCAAGGTCCTCGCGAATAATATTTTTTGTCATCTGGTTTTATGGAACATGCTTTGTCTCTGGCAGGTCCGCACTGGACAAAACATAAAAAACGCGGACATACTGGGATTTGCAAAGCTCTTCAATGACGAACTGACTTTGGACAACATCAGCAGGTCTGAGCCGTGATTTTCCTGCACCAAAGGTTTAAACGTTTTCCTTGTAAACGCAGGCCGCGATTGATAAGCATGTGTAAATACATGGGCTTACGACCATTTGGGACGGATGCGTATCTGCGCTACACTCTTCGCAAAAAACTGGCATGGTAAGAGCTAGCAGTAGCTTCAAGCTTACGCAGTGTAGCTCCTTACTTCCAGGATCAAATCCGATGACCGGCTAATCAGAATGGAAGGAATAGACTCACTTTCGGAACCCGAGCTTCGAGCTGCTTGCCGGGAACGAGGAATGCTTGTTTCTTTGACACCACAAGAGATGAAAGCACAGGTAAAGTCTCTATTTTTCTTAAGAAAACTGCGTCTTAAGTTTGAAGAGAGCTTTCTGCAGCTAAGCAACTGGCTTGATTTGTCACTAGATCACTCAGTACCATCCTCGCTCCTCATCTTGTCCAGGTAAAAACTTTACCTTTCGTTTCCGGCTGTGTCATTGTTTTTTCTTGCAGGGCGTTCGTCCCGGACAAACTAAAACCGGCAGAAGCTGTCCAAGCGACACTGTCATCGCTTCCAGACGAAGTGGTGGACTCGGTCGGTGTCACAGTGCTGCCCAGCGAGGACACGCTTGAGGAGCGCCGGCGCAAACTGGAATTTCTAAAGCAGCAGGAAGAGCTCATCAAGGTATTTTCCCACAAGAACATCTCTGCAAAACCTCTACCACCGCTCGCTTTCCAGCAAGAGCAAACGCCACCAGCAAGAACGCCTGAGAAGCCCAAGTAGCTGATCCGTCGAGTTTTCAGGCAACTTGATGGCTATTGTTTCAAAACATCCGACTGACTTCTTACACATTTTTGCAGGAAAGTCTTACTTCAAAGCCAAGGAAGTGATTGAGGTGGTTCTCTCTGAAATTCATAAACAACAAAGAGGAAAAACTATCACGAATCTTGATATCTTACATAAACACCTCCAAATGTTACAGCTTGCTGCCACTACCACTCGCTCTCGCGCGTCACGTATTGGAACAAGATGACGGTGCTCGTCAAAATAATGAAAGACGAGTAAGCGAGAAACATGGCGCCGATCTCTATCAACATCGCATGGCGCAAAATGGCCGGAATCGCAATGCTTCCCACGGTTGAAAATCCCGTCAGGAACTTTGCAGCATCAGCCCAGCTATAACAGTCCAGGTAAGCTCTCTAGAGAGGAAGAAAAAAAGAGAAGCTTACTCTCCAGTAGCATCGCCGACAGATAGAAGCGACTCGGACGAAGAGCTTCCGAAGAACAAGCAAGGCATTGGAACCATCACGTACATGAGAGCTGGAGAAGAAGAATCAAAGCAAAGAACTTCCAAAGTTGATCGAGGTACCTGTGAGCATTGGCCACCAATTGCTGTACAAGGCACAAGCCTGTGAAAGAAAACGAGTTTTAATCCACCAGAGAGAAATCTTCCATCTACTCACCAGGATTTGCATCATAATTCCCACAGAAAACATGAACGCCAGTCCAGCAAGCCTACAGGGGTGCAAGCACGCGAGAAAATAAGCTGAAGTGTCTGCCATTGTGCCCGTGAGAACAACACTCACACTGCTCTCGGCGACGCCGAATCAATCGCCATCGCCAGTGCCACAGCGCGCAAGAATCCGTGCTATAATCTTAGCTACATGACCAGGGATGGAATCTCAAATCGCCAAACCTTCGATCGTCATCGCCATAGCAGGAGCTCTCCAAGTAATAGTGAAAGAAACCCTAGAGAGGAAGGAGAGAGAGGGGTTTGGGATCGAACACGCGACGTCCACGTGTACGGTAGGGGTTGGAAGGGATTTGCAATATATTCCTTGCGGAGGGCGAGAGAGAGAGGAGCAAGACGCGCGGACGCCTGGCGCTGGCGTCGATCGATCGATGACGCTCACGGGAGGAGCGGCGATGGAGATCGCAATGCCTGCTGTGAGGAATGCGGCTCAGGTGAACGCTCTAGGCGCTGGAGTGGGAGAAATCTCCTGCTCCACCTCCTCCTTTTGTAGAATGCAGCAGCGCAGGGAGAAATCTCCATCTCTTGCATGGCGTGGGAGGCGAGCTATAGCCTCCGCGATCGATCTAAGGTCCGATTCGGCTGTGAGCAGCAACGGCGTCGCAGCTGCGACGCTGATCCCAACGCCGACCAAGGATCTCAGCAGCGGTGCCAGCGATGATCCACCTTTCGGGATTCTCTACAGTGAGAATTTTACTATACGCTGTTACGAGGTGGGCACGAACAAGAAGGCGTCCATCCAGACCATCGCAAATCTTCTCCAGGTATGGAAATTCTTTCCTTTCTTCGCTTGTCAAGAGCTTTTTGAGAATTTTAGGAGGTGGCTTGTAACCAAGTGAGAACACTTGGATTTTCCACGGATGGATTCGCGACAACTTTATCGATGCGAAAGCATCATCTCATCTGGGTGACTGTTCGCATGCACATCGAAATGGACGATTATCCAAACTGGTTGGTAAAACTGCGTGCTTTGTTTTTCTTTTCTGTGACAGAGCTTTTGATCTTACAGGGGTGACGCCGTGCAAGCCCAAACATGGTTCCAGGAGAATAGAAATGGGACCCGACGCGATTGGCTGTTAAAGGATGTCAATACCGGGTTGACACTCGGTCGAGCTACCAGGTTTGTCTTTTTGCAGTATCGATTCTTTGTTATAGCGAAACGGTTTTTCTTTCTTTTTTTTCCCTTTTTGTTGTTGTGCAGCACCTGGGTGATGATGAATCAAGAAACAAGGCGATTTGCAAGAATAAATGAAGAGATCAGGGGAGAATATCACCAATACGCGTTAGATCCTCCAAGGTCGGGATTCAGCTGTTTATGTCGCAAGCGTGACGCCGTTCGTATGTTGTTTCTGCATTTTAGATTTTCGTTCCCAGAAGATCATGCCACATACAAGAAGCACCAACTGGCGAAACTGGAAAACGCAGAGCATCATATCACCGGGCTCAAGGTAAATCGTGTCTTGTCGTGGTGCTATCTTAAACGTTGCTGCTTTGAGGCTTTAAACTCTCCATAATGCAGCCGAGACGGGCGGATCTCGACATGAATCAACATGTGAACAACGTGGCGTACATAGGCTGGATGATGGAGGTACTAGAATCACATTTCTCGTGCTCTAGCAGATCTACTAATCCTTACAAAATCCTAGAGCCTCCCGGCTGACATCGCAAACAGCCACGAGCTCCGCGGGATCATCCTGGAATTCAAGCAGGAGTGCAAGCACGACGACTGCGTGGAATCGATGGCAGCTAAATTCTCTCCAGCGGACCAATCCGGCGACGAAGAACACCAGTTTTTGCATCTTCTCAGACTCGATGGCAGCAGCCGAGAGATCAACCGAGGCTGGACTCACTGGGTGAAAGCCAAAGAAAGTTCACAGCAGGGAGCTTGACAGGGAGCTTGACTTCTGTGAAGTTTTGCGAGGGTTTGGAGGTTAAAAGGTAACCTCGTTTCTAAGATTCTATAGTCACATCCTTCCTCGCTCTGTGCTCTTCCAGATCACAGGTACTTGATCGATACGTAAAAAAGACACAAAGGAACCACCAATAAAAAGTCAAACGCTACGAACGATATATACACTTCGTCCAATCAATCAACCATCCTTCACAGTTTTGAGCTAAAGTAAAGAATCTCGTAAACTCTTGACTTGATCAGCCCAGCTGAAAATCCGGGTCGATTGCGTCATGATTAGGATGGGCGCTCCAAAATGTGTGTCGTGGTTGGCTTCATTAATAACATCTCGGCTGGCTGCCAGCGGATCTCTCACCCGTTAACGTATAGATACCCAAGAATATCACCGGAATCTCGAGAACCTGCCCAGCACTTTGTTTATACAATCAAGAAAAAAGGTAGCAAGCTGGTCCTTTCCCTTTCTTTTCAAACGCCCGGCGGTTTCCCGCGCTGCCAAGCGTAGGTGGCGAGATAGTATATCGTATTAATACGGACGCCTTAAAGGAGATCTCTCGCTTCCCTCTGGAGAGAACTCCCGCAGAGTGGCAGCGCAGCTATAGCTACTGTCCATCAAAACGTTGCTTTCATCTCTCCGCCAATGTCGCCGTCGAGCTCTCACTCACTCGGTCGCCGTCGAGAGCGCGCAGAGATTTTAATGAATGCCTCCGCCATGGCTCACAGTCACAGCAGCACAGAGAAAAGAATCGAAAGGAAAAAGCATGACTTGAGTGAGTGCTGCGAGGGAGGCGAGTAGACACTGGGCACAAGTCCTGTGTACTATACTGTAGCGCAATAGATGAGAGTACACTCGCCTCCACTGGTCAGCAGCAACCAGCTTGAGAGATCACTTCACCCCCTTTTCGCTTTCACGGCTATGAATGCTCCCTCCCCGGATGGATCAAAGTGGCTGCGTGTCCAGATTCCAAAGCAACGAGACGAAACTGTCGCTGAGAGCGAGTGATCGCCACCGCTGCTGTGGTTACCCCGTTCCAGTCGAAAGAGCTGCTTCTTTGATCGGGTTGATCGATCGATCGATCTCTTCTTTGCTCGCTAGCTTTTCGTCGCAAATGGCGCACCCGAATTGATGGAGAGCTCGCTTGGTTGGCTGCCTGCTGCTATGTGCCAGTTCCAACTTTTCCTTTCTTCTTTTCTCTTGGCCACCACGGACGGACGGACTGCGCCGCTGCTCGCTCTGGCACCATTTAAGAACGCTTCTCCACGAAACTTTTCTCCTTTTCTTCCTCTCTGTTCCCGGCCCAGGGATGGAAGAAAAGAGGTACCTTGCGTGCTTGCTTGCTTGCTAATGCCGCTCTAGCTCAGCTCGCTGCGCACTCGCCTCCTTTTTTCTCGCATCGCATCTGTCCGGTCACGAAAAGCAGAGATCACCTGGCACACACCACAATGTTTGTGAGCAGCGATGCCACAATTAAAAACATCCAAGCACATGCCATGCCACCCACATTTGCCACGAAAAAAGAAACTATTCTCTTGAATGAATGATGCCAACGATCCGAGCCCCCATTCATGGCACACGATGCGATAAACAAAAGAAGGAAAAGGCAAGAACACAAAGAAAAAGCAAAAAAAAAAGAGCAAGAGCTACCTTTGGGGGTGGCTTTTCAATCCTCCTCTCCAAGACCAACTAGTCGAGCCGATGACGATCCCAGATCCTGCCAAACATCCGAAAAGGACTGCTTGATCACCTCGTGGTGCTCGGGCGAATTCAAGCTCAAGTAGCAGAACAAGAGCTCCTCGAGATCGCACCACTGCTGGAGACCCTTCTCCCGGATCATCTCCAGCATCGAGTCCCGGAAGTCCTGGTAGGGATTGTGGGAGTACTTCACCAGCGGGATGCTGTCCGCCACCACCCCCTTGATCTCCGACGGCAAGCATGCAGAGAAGCTGTTGTCGTTGTGATTCCTCCTCTTTCTCGCCCAGCCACCGCCGTGGCCGCTGCATGAGCCGGCCAGGTCGAGATCGCAATCGCCCTCTTCCTCCTCCCCATTCTCTCCCCCTGGATCGGAGCAGCAGTCGGAAGAAGAAGTGGAGCACGCCTCCACGATGTCAAATTCCGCGATATGAGGATTCCTGAGCAAAGGGGGAAGAGCGTCGTGATCTTCCTCCTCGCCGCCCTTGTTGGATGATCGCCGCCCTGGATTATTCCCGTCGAGATCACTGCGGCAGCTAGACATTGAGGAGAAATCCTGGTCCCAGGGAGGCTCCTTCCTGCTCCTGAGATGGTTCTCTATCAGAGACCCTGCTGCTGCGCTAGAGCTACTGCTAATCTCCTTATCTTTGTCCGAGACACCCATCCTCTGGGGCAATGCTGCTCCAGATTTGGGCGCTCTAGTGGTGGCATTCTTCTCGGCGGCGACTGATCCCCTCACCGTCAAATCGTAGCCCCCTCCGCCGCCGCCGCTGCTGCTGTTGCTAGCGCCAGCTCCATCTCTCTTGCCCGCCGCTGTCCCCCGGAGCTTTTGGTACCAGCTCGACTGCTGCTCGCTTCCTCCTCCCATGGCCACTGCCGCTTAACGGGAAGGAAAGAGAGAAAGACGAGAAACCCTTAAAGCGTGTGTGTGCTCTCAATTCAAGAGCGGAAATTCTTTAAGAGAATATGCTAGAAACCTCATTTAAAATGCTAGGGTTTTCCCTCCTCTTTTAGCGCTTTTCGACTGTGGAATCGAAGCTTTGAGGATTGGAGTTGTTTGAAGCTGCGTCTCCAAGTCCTGCATACGAGGATGGCCATAGTTCTAGCAAGTTGTATGCTTGGCAGTTTCGCGAGTGAAATAAGAATTTGGTCAGCAGGATGCTCGATCTCGGAGCAATATTGACCAGCAGCGAAGATTATGACAGGTTGTGCTTCCGCTCACGCCGTGAACAAGCTAAGGATTCCCCAGAGTCGTCCATGGTGGAGCAAGAGTTTGAGCAGTAGGTTCAACTCTTCTACAGAGCTTCATTCACCGAGTGAGCTTGTGTTTGCCAGCATGGGCTTGCAAGTGCGATTAAGCACCAATTTTGACCACATGGTCAACGTCGGTCAAAAGGAGGCTCAAGGATATATTATAATTTACCTTAGGGCTCATAATGAAGTTAGTGGACCAGCAATGTAGTGGAGCTTTTGAGGTAGTTCAGAGGTGGTTGAATGGTGAGGAATTTCAAGAGGTGGCATAACATAATCTAGACTGACTAAATCTTTGTCTTTTTGCACCAAATAATAACAACTATTATCACATTGAGCAACAGTCCTCTCCATCTTGGCAAGTTCCTCTTGCTCGAGTTGCTCCTCTCCACCATGGTGCTCGGCTACATGCCTTGAGGAATCAATTGCCAGTCAACCGTCGTCCGGCAAACTATCCTCCAACGATTGAGCTGCTCCTGGTGGCATCGCCATACAGGCTCGCTGCAGAGTCCACCTCTTGCACTACTGTTTTGGAAGTCAGACTCCCCCAGAAACAAGACTCTACCACTGGCTTCCATACTTATCACACACACCACGTAGCCCCATGCGCGATCTTTGCCAGCTCTTGCCTCTTGCCCTAGCCTGCGATCCAAGAATTGCTCCCAGCCTACAGTCATTCACCCACTTCTTGAGAAGCGCATCAAAAGCTCTCTTGATCCAAGATAGCTGCAAAAGAAAAAAGGGCCGGATTGCCTCGTCAAGCAAATAAGCTACAAGATCCCACCGTGAAGATGCTGCAACCAACCCTCTCCCACGCGACATCATGACCCGCCAAAATTCGCCAGCTCTTGCGCCACTTGCCTCGGCCAACTCTCACCCAGGCAGGAGAAACAAAGCAAGGTGATGATTGTTGTGGCAATCTTCTCTTCTGGACATAGAACCGTGCACCCCATGCTCATTTACATGGACGGAGCCATATGAACGATTTAAACGTATTTCAAACCGATTGACCATTTTTCAAAGAACGTGTTTGGCTAAACCTAGAAACTCAACGTATTTCTATTTCAAACCGATTGACCATTTTTCAAAGCATCTAGATGCATCGCTTCATAACGTATTTCTGATGCTCGGCCTTGTTTCTTCGCGAAAGATTGTTGACTTCGGTGTGATTTAACCCTATCCAGAGTTTCTCATGCAACACAATGCAAAAATGGTGCTGTTATTGCTATTGCTCCTTTTCCCTGTGATTCTCATAAGCATGAGGTATGAGCTTCCACCTGATTGGTATTATCGACGGCAGGCAACAATTATTCGGTTTTTATGAACACCACAGAAGGCCTTGAGGCCAGGGACAAAGATATTGTCAGTGACAATGGGAATTTCTCACTTGTATCCTTTATACTTCGGAAACTATTTTGCCCTTGGCGTAGTGTTGGAAAATGCAGCTTCCCTAGTGTTACAAAACTCTGGTGGCAATGTTTCGATTTTCCCTCATAATTTCTCCTCCCAGCCCAGATTTTCACAACAGGGATGGGCCTAATTAGGAATGACTATGAGACTCAAGCTATTGTCCAAGACGAGGGACTGTTTTGGATTTCTTCTACTAAACTTCTACAAGAAGGACACTTCCAACACCAAGCAAATCAAGCATGGTGATTTACTTCTACATGTAAGCTCTACCTCAACTTTTCTTCTGTACACTGGCAGTAATTTGACCCTCTCCAATCATTATCATTAAAATGAATCAAGTACTCAATTTCCAACCCAAGATGCATCAGGAGGGGCAACAGGCAGGTCAGTGAAGTCCAGGGCAGGGACAGAAGGCTTGGTGGCAGAAGACCTGGAGAAGTTCAGCCAACTAATGCTTCATGAGATCATCAAAACAGTTTACTATAATCCATTGGTCTCATACCACAAGACCTTGTGAACAGTTAATGAATGAATGAATGAATTTGATTCAAATGGGAGCATCACATCTTCCAAGTATGAAGAAATCAATGGAGAAAAAATATTCAGCTAACGGACTATACAAACTAGATCAAATCATGGCCAGGAAATCCTGCATGTAAGGATTGTTCTCCATATGAGATCTGCAATACCCACAATGGAAGCTGAAGCTGCTTGAAGGGTGATAACTTTGTCTATCTAATTTTGATTTAAGTTCTTGCTCCAATTTTGAGTTCTCCCAACACTACATTGTGATGAAACACAAGTTTCCTGGTATTGGATATTATAGAACTGAATTCATGCAACCCAACCAAAGGAATTCCTCTCTAGACAACTGCACTAAAGCCTGCTTTTCTATGAATTGTAGCAGCTGTATGTCACTTATTTTCAATGGCGATACCAAGGACTGCTTCTTCATTGACTATGATATATATGGGAGTTTCTACAGAGATGACACTTATCATCAAAACTCTGAAGCCTCACCATCCACTGACACTTTATATTATAACTCTTACCATGAGTTGCATTTTGATAGTCCTCTGCTTTCTAGCGGTATGTGCTCTTTCGTTTCATGAGTGCAAGCTCAAGTTCAATCCGGCAAAGGAGATTGAAGCATTGCTGGCTAGTATGCAAGGCCGGTTGCCCCAGAGATTCTCATATACTGCATTGGATACTGCAACAGAAGGATATAGCACAAAGCTGGGATCTGTTACAAATAGGGGTTTTGAGCGATGGTAGAGTTGTGGCAGTCAAGAAGCTCGACTACAGTGGAACTCAAGGGGCAAAACAATTTGTGAAAACCGAGATTGCTGGAACTGGAGGCATAAACATTGTCAAACTTTGTGGCTTTTGCATCGAAGGAGCAACACAGTGGCTGCTGGTGTACGAATTTATGCCCAATGGATCACTCGACAAATGGCTTTTCGAGCAAACTTCAGAGAATTTATGGCTCAGTTGGCAGCAGAGGATCGACATTGCCCTTGGCACGGCTCAAGGACTTGCGTATCTTCACGAGGAATGCAGGGAGCCCATACTGCACTTGGACAGCCGGGAGCCCCAAAACATTCTGCTGGACACAGAGTTTGTCGCAAAGGTGGCGGACTTCGGGATGGCCAAGCTGCTTGAGAATTGCAATGAGACGCAGGTCATGACGATAATAGGTGGCACTCCAGGCTACATGGCTCCCGAATGGCTCACACATTTCATGGCTACAAAGAGATGCGACGTTTACAGCTATGGAAAGGTGCTTTTGGAACTAATTGGGGGTCGCAGGAACATTGATCTCTCAAAGGCTGTGAACTCTGGGGACAACACTCAGCCGGAGGAGAGCCGGTTTTTTCCAACTTGGGGAACCAGGTGGAGAAGGGAAACTTTCTCGATGTGATTGATGAGAGGGTGAGAGCAAGTGCCAGTGAAAACTATCACCAGGCCAAGAAAATGGTTCCTCTTGCACTGGTGCATTCAAGACAATGTTGATGCTTAGCAGAAGTGTTGCAAGGGCATTTGGATTTGGGTTCTGCTCCTTTGATAGCAAAAGTGGCATTTTGTTATATGTTTGAGATTATATAAACATATTATGTAATACAAAAGTTGTGGTGATGAAGACTGAAAGTCATTCTAACTATATAAATGCAGCCACATATTTAAAGCAGAAATTACCTCCAAAACAAGTGCTTGGTCACATGGTGAATTCAAGCTTAAGGAGCTCTTCGAGATTGGACCAATTGTGGAGACCCTTCTCCCAAACACTGGACCTGTGAGATAAAAAGAGGTCCAGCCTCTGGGACAAGTGGTGCAAGTTTGTTAGCTAAAAAGTAACGAATTATCTTGTATTTATCTATCTTCCAAATCTGCTTTCATAGCTCAGTTTGTTAGAGCACTTGTTTAGTAAGTGGGAGGTCTTGAGTTCAACTCTTAGTATATTTATTTTTCCAATGGGGGTTCAGGCTTTGCTACAAAGAGCCAGTTCTTTTGATAGTGGCGGAGAGTGGATTCGTGGCTGCCATTTTTGATAGTGGCGGAGAGTGGATTCGTGGCTGCCATATATGAATGTCACGAATGAATGTGATTTTGGGTATCAAAAATTACTTATCGACTAGTTCTTACAACACTCTCTTCTTACTACCACGACAGGAAAAAATTGGTATTATTAAACCTTTTATCAGTCCCTTTTGTTCAAATGTTAGTAAATTGGACTTTACATCTATATTTGGCCAAACGAACATAAGGACGGAATTCCTAAGTGTTTATTTAGCTAAGTATATTTAGCCCAGCTTATTAGTTCTCTTTTGCTCTATCTTGCATTAGTTTGACAAGAACCCTCAGGTATTGAGACTAATCCCTCAATATAACTAAATAATAGCTTATCGTATCTATCAAACACCCTCTTTATTTTATGTTAATCTTATTCTGGTCCCAAATGCTATTTATGGAAAGCATTTAGATTTGCTCATTTGGCATATCTATGGAATGTAAAGATTGAATGATGTTCGTCCCATGTCCAAATTCACAATTTAGGGACATTCTATATTTAATTTCAAGTTTGTTCCAGAGACTAACTCCTGGTACTAAAGGTGAAAACCCAAAACATATGTTCCTCAAGGAGGGGGTGGGGGTTCCAAATGTACCAACTATATAGTAAGGGTAGTGGGTAAGTCGGGTATGGCTGACCAACATGAGATATAGTCTAGCTCCCGCTTGCATGCCTGTTTTTGTTCTGCATCTGACTTGGGTCTAAGCCTAAGTTCCATACTATACTAGTTGGTGGAGCACCCATATCCTCATGTTAGGCCACCAATATGCTAAAATAGCATCAAACTCTGTCTGGCTCCGTTTTGCATATTGGTCTTGACATTAGGATGTTGGATACTCTATGACTGTTCTAAGTCGCTTCGTACTCTTATCCCTTCGCTCCTTGGGTTGCATGCTTGAGAGTTACTCCATGTTTTAGTATCTTCACTCCTTGGCTTCATGCTTAGGAGTTTGACACAGTTCTTTCATTTAGTGGCCTAAGGCCCTAAAACTTGGGTTCCGCACCATTGTCCTTTAGACACATGGCATGTGACATGTGGTACATGGAGGGTTTAAGTTTTGTTCCATGATGGTAAATCACTATAGGATAAAGGGTAAAAACCATGTGTGTTACAATAGGGCATCACTGAGCCATCGAAACAATCACCTACTCATCCTCGTTTCCATCTTGCCAGCAACAGCAAAAGCTAAAGCCTAACAATGGCAATGGTGGATTTAAGAAAAATGTAGCTCTAGCCTCTCTAGCTTTGCTATGATCTTGCTGGTGGTGGTGAATTTGGAGGCTTCATCCTCATGGTGATAAAGTCAGCCTCACAACACCAGTAAGCTGGCTCAGCCCCAACAAAAAGTACATGGAGTTGTCAACTAAGGGACATGCCAAATCATCTCTCAAAGAAAAAAAAAAGAGTTTTCCATTTGCCTTGCAGGCAGGGACAAGGTTGACCACCCACTCTGAGTTCTCCAAAGGGTAAATAAAGTTACATGTTAAGTTTTCCAACATTGATCTCATGGATCAGCACAGCAAAAGGACTCTCAATGGCAAGGATCCTTTTTCAAGTTTGTCATTCTTCGGACTAGTGGGGTTTTCATGAAAGACCAGCTTGAGTTGGAGCTGGAGAACCTCATCAACTATGGCATGTTCCAGACCATGGAGATGGAAGGCATCACTCAGGCTGATGAGACTATGAAGATCAACATTAACTTTGTTGAGAGCCTGGGAAGCAAGAAGAATAGTACAAGAAGTGGGTGAGGAAAGCTAGGAAGTGCATGCTACCGAGAAGGATCAAGCAAGAAATTTCAGGCTGGCTGTCCATCGAGTCTCGTGTCATTGCGAGAATGCTGCAGAGAATTCGAGAGAGAATGCAGAAGTGGTATCACGATATGCATGTGTTCAAGTCGTCAACTTCTTCCTTTTAGTATGCAGCACAAAATAGGGCTTATAGCATATTCTCTTAAAGAATTTCTGCTCTTGAATTTCTATTCATGGGTTTCTGTTCCAATTCTTCCTGTTGCTCTTCCTCGTAGGAGGAGGAAGTGAGCAACGGTCGAGCTAGTATCAGAAGCTTCGGGTGACAGCAGCAAGCAAGCAAGATGGAGCTGGCACTAGCAGCACCAGCAGTAGCAGCGGCGGAGGGGCCTACCATTTCACAATCAGGGGATAATTTGCTGCCCAAATCTGGAGCAGCATTACTGCAGAGGATGGGAGTCTTGGACAAAGATAAGGAGATTAGCACTAACTCTAGTCCAACAAGGTCTCTGATAGAGAACCATCTCAGGACATCATTTGTATGTCTGTGATGTCCCTTTCCATTACTTCATAGACTATTTCATTCATATTGGTTCTTAGTAGCTTTATGCACAGCAGCTTAGTGATAGTGATCCAAAGTGGGAATTTTGTTCCCAATACTATATTGTGAACAAGCTTGATTTTCTTTTTTCTTTTATTCTTTTAAAATTTGTGTTGTATGTCAATTAACCCAAAAACCCTAGCTTATATACAGGAGTGAGTGGTCTGGATTGAAACCACTCCGACAGCTACCAAAATCCCACTATACTAATATTAGTATATGGCATCGTAGCTATACACTTAGACCTCACATCATCCTCTTCTCTCGGAATAATGGAAGACCATCAGGGTGGGATTTAGAGGAACATTAAGAGGAGGCATTGGTGGATATGTAAGTGGTACCAATTGTTCCTAATCACTTTGTACGAAGTGTTTCAACCACTGTATATGCATAATTTCTAGAGGATTGGCTTGCTAGATGTTATGCCGAACCTCATAAACTTGCGGTCCAACTTACTGCAACATCCAATACGGTCCTTTCCACTGAGCAAAGAGCCTTTAGATAAACTACATACTGTAAAATGGGGAAAATAGACTAACACCAACTTATCCACTTTATACTCCATATGTGGACAATAATGGGAGTTGTAGCGGCATTGTTGTCCCACTTTTACGTGGCCCAAGTGTTCAGTAAACTCTATTTGGACAAGTGAAAGAATGCTTGTCAAATATTGATCCTACAACCTAACATCGGTAACTCGTGGTAATTGTGAAGTTAAACTCAACTCCGTTGGTAATATTAGATCATGACCATATAAGAGTTTATATGGTGAAGCACCAATAGAACTCTGCACCTTTATGACATATGCATGCCGAAGAAATAGTAAATAACCATCCCAATCCGAATGTTGAAAGTTTACATACTTTATGATCATCCCTTTGAATATCTGAATGAGCTGTTCCACCAAATTATATGTTTGTGGATGATAAGCACTCATGAAAGCATGGCATATCCTCAATCAAGATGTCAAAACATGAAATGCCTTAGCCATAAATGTGGGACCATTATTTGAAAGAATCTGCTCTAGATAAGAATGCTAGAACACCACACAATTAAGAAGGAAGTACCTAATAACAATTGTAAAGGCACTAGCAAGAGCATGAACTTCCACTCAGCGAGTCAAGTAGTCAAAAGTAATAATAACATACTTATTGCCAACAGTCGATCGTGGAAAAGCTCCCATAAGATCAAATACCACCAACTCAAATAAATGAGAAATTGCAATTGACTCCAACCATCTTTTTGTGGCATGAGGGGGAGTATTATGAGCATGGCACCAAATGTAACTATGCACATACCAGATTACATCATGTTGCATTTTCGGCCAATAGAAAGACTTGTGCAGCTTCTTGGTCACACGATGATGTCCCATATTCCCACTTAGAATAGGAGAATCATAGTAGGTATGGAGAAACCATGGAATAAATATTAAAGGCACCACTAGTTGTAAATGATCATCATGATTTGTCCCTACAAAATAAATAAGGTCGTCTTCAAAACGATATTGAGAATGTAAATGTCGGAATGACAAGTTATTAGCAAGTGATGCAGGATTTTTAAACCCATCTCAAACCTTCGAGTCCATGGCTCAATCTTTTGAGCCTCACGAACCTCATCAAGAGAAGGTAAATCTTGTTTTACATCTTGTGGACACTAAATGTCAAATACAATAACTTGCTAAACACTCCTTCTTTATCGTGGAGTGATTTGCCTTCGTTAGTTGTAATGTACAGTTTATATATACAATGAGATGGTGCTAACCAAGCACAGTTTGGGGTTTTGAGAAACTTCAAGAGGCCGTGCTCCCAGTGGAGATCCAGGTGCCATCACTCTCACTTTCACTTTGATATGCAACAGCGATGCAGCTTAGCGATGAGGACAAGCTTCATGCACGTGACTTGGAGGTTCTTGCCTTGGAAGAACAGCGACAATCCATGACTGAACATCTCCTTTGAGGCAAGTAGAAGATCAAGTCAGTCATCGATCACCAGCGGTCTGCCGAACCATTCGAGGATGGCGATCTCGTTCTACTCAAGGAGTTCACGCCACCTTCGAAGTTCTCCCCTCGCTGGACCGGCCCCTACTTTGTCCAGCGACACATCGGAGGTGGAGCATATATGCTAGTTGATGCTGATGGACATGAGCTCCCACACGCTCACAATCACTCTCATCTCAAACGCTTCATCCGGTGAGGTGTTCCTCTTCTCTTCTTTTTCTTTTTCTTTCTCTTCCTTTCTTTCACTTTACTTTCGTGGCTACTTTTCTTACTTTTAGAGGATGTTTCTCCATTGGACAATGGCCCATGCCTTGGATTTCGTGCTCAGGCTACATTGCCGTTTGTATGGAGGTTCCTTGCTTGGCTTAGTCTATGTTCCAGGTTCTTTGGCCCTTCCCTTACCATTACTACACCCCACACATTCTCCTCACTCATTCCATATCATCTACACTCACAATTCCATTACCAATCACTTCCAACAGTGTTGCCCAGACTTATCTCTAGATGCCCATCTTGCATCTTTCATTCTTTCACCATCACCTCACATCTCCATTTGAGGTCACGTTTACACCATACCACAGACACACATACGTGCACTAGCAGCAAAAGACACCACCTCATTTGGACGTGCCGTTTCTGAGATGTCCTTATGACCATTTGCCGACGATGCACTAGCTTTTCTGGAGCGACTTTCTTCCAACTAGGTGAACCTGTTCACCTAGGTGGATCTTTAGGCGAGGCCACAGAAGCCAAAGCCACTTTCTTCTGCTCCAGCACTCAGTGGACACATGCCACCTCCCTTCACCGGCAACCCAGCGACTACGCCGTCCTTTTCAGCTGCTATCTTCTTCAGTCCGACACATCAGACTGGCCACCTTCTCAGAGTGCCACCCCATCTCAGTGCTCCGCCGTATCACTCCACCATATCGGTGCTGGAGCAAGCGCAGGAGTAGGAGCGAGAGTAGGTGGTTACCGGTTACTGATTACAAGTACTCGGCTACTGGTTACCGATTACCGGCTACTCCGAGTGGTCAGTGCTTACTCTACGGGCCAACGGTTATCAATGGCTACCACTTCAGAGTGCCACCACCATCTCGGCGCTCCACCATATCACTCCATCTTTCATCATTTCCTCACTTACCACCCTTGGGCAACGCATCCCCTCTTCTACCTCTCTTTCTTTCTCAATTTCGGCCAATCCTTGGAGCATACCGGAAGTCATCAAGAGGCTGCATTTGCATATTACACTTTCCTGAGCCGAAATCCAGGTACGGGTTAAGTTCTTTGGGTACTCACACTCTTTTTCCCCTATTTTTCCTCCTCTTTTCACACTTTTTCTTCACTTTTTCTTCAACTTCAGGGTCCAGTTTGACTATAGGGTTTCCCACCGGGTTTTCTCCCTGTTTCCAAACTTCACACCTACCTCTTTTCTTTCTTTTCCACTTTGTTTTCTAGAGTTTCTACTATTTCACGCAGCTACCAGCACTCGGCATCAGTAGCAGCAGTACACTCTACACTCTTCAGAGGGTTCACGTGCGTCTGGAGCCAACACGATCCACCGTGGTCGCATGTTAGGGCGTAGCCACCGAGAGAGTGAGAGAGAGAGAGGGAATATTCTGGTCCTCAGAATATTCCCCATCTTCCTTGTATAAAACCCTTGCCTCACAAGGGCAAGGGGGGGCATTTTTGCAGAGAGCAGTGAAGCATTTCTCGTGTTTGAGCGAGCGTTGGGGGAGGCACCCCTCCTTCCCCCAACAGAACCTCACAAGGACCTTGTCCTTGTTTTATCCATAAGATCACCTAGTAATCTCACCATGGCAACTTAATAGATTTGCTAATAGGTACTAGGTCTTCTAGACTTTTAAGTTGTTGACCATGACCCTAGGGGCATCCCCCACACTTGGCGGTGCACCCAAGTCAACCCTTTCGGCTAAGGGTCCATAGCAATTGAAACTAGGTGTCCCCATCTCATTCACTACGTCCTTAGTGCCACTTGCACTAAAGTGTTCAAGTTAGATATGCCGAGTTTTCACACTAAGCAATTTAACCGTGCATCACAACTCTGGAGCATCCCCTGCTTAGCGGTGTGCCCAAGCTAGTCTCCTTACTAAGAGTCTATAACCACCAAAAAATGAGTGTCCTCATATTCCAAACCGTCACTATGCCTTAGTGAGTTGGGACTCGAACCCAAGCACTAGAGGGTCGGGACTCAAACCTAACCTCCGTATATGCATCTATAGATGGCATCATCCAAGATGCTTGGCATGATTCCTCACGCCAGTGCACCATCTTATACTTAAAGTGTGTTACAAATCACAACTTAGGAACTTAGTTCCTCCACACTGCCAAGTCCTCTCACTTGACAAATCTGTAATCATGCATAGACTCCTCTATGCTTGGCCTCAT